ATGAAAACACTTGACGCGTGCTGGCAAATTGAGTATATTTTTCATTGCTTGCAGTGCAGTTTGGGTTTGAAGAGAAACGATTTTTTCGCTGGATGAAGGATTGTAAAGAATGGTTGAGATATTTTTAAATAAAGCGCATAAAATATGCAACAATATTTGCTGTGCGAAATGAAAATAAAAAGATATAAAAGAAAAATATATAAAATAGCTGAAGTAAATCCAAAAAAACCTAAAGAAATTGAAATTGATGAGCGAAAGATAAACTTAATAATTTAAAAAAAAATTGTATTTCACTGTAATAAATCTTGGAAAAAAAGTTTTAATTTATTCATGTTGTTCTGCCTTGCTTTTGGTAGAGTTTTTACGTTTTATTACTTTTTCTTGATTGGCACAAAAAAGGGATTTTGCATGTTCTGGCGAGCAAAAACTTTCTTTCCCATGGATTACATATTATTTTTGGCAACAAAATTTGCTTTGAAGCAACATGTGCTTTTATTACATACATTTTTTAGAAAGTATCTTTCTTCTTTTCAGTGGAAATATAAAAAAGTTTAGTTTGAAACTATTACAAGTACTAACATTATACATAATGATGAAATCATCGTGAAATAAGTGTCAGCAGTTTTTTAGTTTTTAAATTTGTCGAAAGCAGTTTTGGGCATGGGATATATGGATATAGGTCTAAAACAAAAAAATAAAATGGTTTTGGATTTGCTAAACATCTAGTAGTTTTTTTAAGTTCATTATTGATATATCATTAATATTTACTGATAAAAAAAAAATAGGTTGTTGATTTAGATATTTCTTATTATTTTTAAACATAGATAGAGATTAGAAGTATACCATTTAATCAAAAAAGAACGAGAAGTTGAAAAAACACGCAAAATTTTAATTTTTAATAATTTCCTTTATTATCGCATTCAAAGTACTCTCCTGCGGCAATACATGCATGCCAACGCTTGATCCAATTTTCCATACAAGTTTTATAGGCCGCCGAAGGTATGGCCTTAAGTTCACACAGCGAGTTCTCTTTTATAGCCTCTATGGTCTCAAAACGCGTTCCTCGCAATGGCAATTTGAATCGGGGGAATAGGAAAAAGTCACACGGTGCCATATCTGGAGAGTACGGTGCTTGGTTGATGATATTGGTGGAGTTTTTGGCCAAAAACTGCGACACAAGCAACGCTGTGTGAGTCGGTAGGTTATCGTGGTGTAAAATCCATGAGTTTTCCTTTCATAAATCTAGCCTCTTTTTGCAAATGACCCCACGCAAACGACGAATAACGGCAAAATAATACTTCTTATTGACCGTCCGGAAGGCATTCATAGCGCACTACATAATGAATATCGAAGAAAACAGTCAGATTTTGAACCGACTTTGGCGTTCTTTTCGGTTTCGGCTCATCTTCGAAGCACCATTCGGTCGGTTGTTGTTTGGTGGGCATGTCAAATTCATAGACCCATGTCTCATCACCTGTTATGATGCGTTCAATGAATGTGGGGTCACTATCTGCGTTGGAAATCATTACAACGACGCTTTTTTTGAATGCAATTCAGCTAAAAATCGCCACACGAAAATATTTCGACTTCTTTGTATAGACGCCGAACAAAAACTAATCGTACGATATGCGTTAAACTTTTATAGAATGTGTATAATAGTGTTGCCAACGTGAAAATAAAAAAAAATTACCGATTGGATAAGTGCGGGAATTTAAAAAGAGAACGAATAAGTTCGTTTTTGATCACAAGGTATATGGTTCACACGGTGTCCCATGCTTTATTCATAGCTTTAAAAATAAATGACAAAATTATATATGCAAAAATAATATAAAAAAATGTTTTATTTAAAATTATATTTAGTTTTCAAATTTTTGAGAGAACTGTACACTTGCAGTAATAGTATGTTTCCATTGCTTACTTAGAAAGTGTAACTTACTAAGTAAATTTCATTAACCATAAATAGAGCTTCTATGCTTTCTCCTAAACAAATTTTTAAACAATATATAATAGTAAATATTTCTTATTGTAAAGTGAGTTCACAAAATTAGCTTTAATTCATCTTTAATTGCTAGATAGGTACTACAATATCTTTAATATTTCAAAGTGTGTCTATTAAGCATTAGAAGAAACATAAAACAAAATGGCTTTGAATCTAAAGTTAATTATATTCCTCTCTCCATACTTTATCATTCAATACAGAGTACCTTTATATTAAATTAAACCAAAAAAAAGTGGTATTAGAAAACTTATTAAAGTAAAATAAAAATAAAAAGAATTTTAAAAATAAAATTTTACTTCAAATTGTGGTAAATTTTTCGTTTTGAGTTTCATTACAAATTTCTAAGAATGCAGCTTAAAGATATTTCAGTATCTTTATAAATTGACTAAAATTAAACTTCCTCTTCGTAAGTGAATTAAATGCTTTCACTAAAATCCTTTATAAGACCAAATTAGAGCAATACGACATATGTATATAAATTTGTATTAAGAACAACTGCATAATACTACGTACGAGTATATAACTATCCATCTACTACTACTCTGCCCGTATATGACCTGACCATGAATGAATCTCACAATATGTCAGCACATACAATAATATGTTCGTATGTGTTCACAAGTAAGCTCATCACTTAGTTTAGCATATCTCTTTATACCATTTTTATATGAAATTAGAAAGTATCTTTTTCAAAATTAAACAAATTTCTAAAACACTTTATGAGAAATGAATAAAATGGTTAAATTCAATTTTGTTTTTATATTAAAAAAGAACCAAAATCGCATGAAGAATTAAGTTAAGAAAATTTTGTAGACACACGAGTAACCCTAATCCTGTTGTGCTCTATATTTCTGTATTCTGCCTTGTCATACACTGGGCATAAAGAAAATCGAATTTCTAATCCTAAGAAAAACATTACTGGTAGGAATAGTAAGTTTTGGAATTTGGACAAAAGAAGCTTAACGTCTTATACACACTAGAGAAATACAATATACGTCCAGGCAAGTTTTATAATATCTTCTTTTAGGTGATAAAACTAAATAATCCTTAGAACACGCACATACCCTAAAGGATATTATTTCAACAAAAAAGTTTTTGGGGTATTAATTTTATTTTACGTTTATTTTATGTGATGGAAAATTTATTATTTCAAAAATTTTATAGTTTGAGTAAAATCGTGTTTTTTTTTTACTACCGCAAACTTAGCACTTGTGTGATTTTCACTTTGAAAGGATTATATCATTTCATTTGAAATACTTAATTTATTAAAATTGTAAAGGATTAATTGTTGATAGCAGTATTTTAAGGATTACTTTATTAAAAGGCTTGACTTTGTCATATGATATTTAAAAGTACTTAAAGTTATTTAATTAAAATAATATATTGACTTTGACTTCGATGTATATTGATATAATGTAAAATTTGTTTAATGTTTAATTTTAAAATATTTAGAATATTTATTTATAAGATAATATAAAATTTTAATATAAAATTTTTAAAAGTTTTTAATTTAATTCTATAATATCTATAATAATTAATCAAATAAATTATAAAGGTTTGGAGCAGATTATAAATCACAGGAGCATGGCTTGAAATGCCAACATAAGAGAGACCCTCATTGCAAAAGTAGAAGTATTGCAAAAGTGGTTCAAAGGGAAAATAAATCTTCCTGAAGAGGGGATATTTTAGTCTGCAAACTACATATTATTATTAGGGAGTCAGGCACACCATTGCAACGATGATTGGTCTGACGGTGTATAAAGCATTCCACCGCCTTACCACAAAAAAAATAAAAATTAAAATAAATTAAATATAATTTCTACGGTTGAACACGTGTTCTCCCTGACGTTACTTACTTTTTGTCTACTTGTACAATTCTTTGGAGAACTAAGATCATGAGTATATAGATGCACCAAATAGAAGTTAATTAAAATCTTTTGGCTGGATTTGCTAACTTTTAAAATATAAAAATAATGTTACAAATCAATTCTTTCAATAAGAAATTGGTAGAATAATGGACTTAGGAATTAGAAATTAGGAAATGGCACCTGACTGCTTTTACGTTTTATTTGTTCCCCACTGATTTAAATATTACATATTGCTTTTTCAATACAGAATTAAATATTCATTTGATTGTAATAAATTTATAAAATAAATTGAAAATAAATTGGATATTCCACAAATTTTTAAAACACAAACACAAATACATTTTTTTTATTTTTTTGATTAATAGACCTTGGTGGTCTCGTACTTTCAAAATCAATGAGTTGTATTTAGCCAGACCTAATGTGACAACTTAAAAGCATTAGTACCTCCTTTGATTCTGAATATTGCCTATTGGTTTTTCAATACAGAACCTTTAGAATTAAAAGTGTAAAGAATAAAATATTAATTTATTTGTAAGAAATCGATAAAATAAACTGAAATATGGCACATATGATGGAACTTTTTGATTTATAGTCCTTGGCGGTCCCGATCTAATGCGACAACTTAAAAGCAACCTAGATTTTATCAATGATTCAAAGTATATGTATCAACTGTGTGCTTAATATATCCTTAATATAACCTTAATTTCCGGTTTGCAGCCCGGAAAATATTTATAATATATTTATTTATATAAATAATATATAATATTGTATATTTAAATAATATTTACAAAAACAATTTAAATATTTTAAATTAATGGTCAACCAAAAATTCAAAAAATTAAAAAAATTTAATTTTTGTTGTTGTACTTCACTATTTTTCAAAATCTCTCTATAAATAATTTTTATAAAACTAAAAACTTTTTTCTATAATTTCTATAATTCTATAACATTTATAATTACATAAAATTTTTATAATTTATAAAAAAATATTTTAAATAAATAATTCTAAAATGTAAATGTTGTTATAATAAATCGGTTTAACTTTTATGTGAATAAATCAAAAATAATTTAATTTAAAATTAATCTATTTACCAAAATAAAACCAGAAAGTATTTGATGCAATGTTCTTTTTATTTTCATCATTTTAAAAGCGAGTATTAATAAAACAACACAATTTTTTTAACAAATACTTAATATTAAAAATAATCTGTTGAGGTCAGAGGAATCCGTGGTCGTAATCCAATTTAGCGTTTTCCACATGATAGTGTAAAACTATTAGCCATAGTAAGAGTAGGGTGAAGCATAATAACCAGAGTAAGCATATGGTGTACCATAATAAACTTGAGGAGCTGGCACTGGTGCGGGATTAGGGCTTGCCACTGGAACTGGAGATGGGCCAGCTACTGGTGATGGCACAGCAAATGCAACGGCAAAGAGAGCAGCAAAAAGCACAACCAACTAAGAAAAATTTATTTAAAACATATGTATATATAAAAAATATTTATTTTATTTATATAAAATATGTTTTATGTTAAGTATTCTTGAGCCAATTAGTCGCTTACAAGTTTGAACATTTTTGAAAATTTGTTGTTTGTTGTTGAAAGTAGGTAAACACTTGTTTAACTGATATCAATTCAGAGTTCTTAAGCTATTTATATACTCCTAAAAATTCTCAGTATATTTGACAATATACTGTATATCCGTATAGTAAATATGTATATAATTCTTTAAATTTGTTTCTTTATATTTTTTTTATTTCTTTTATTTATATCTAATACTGTATTTCAATCTTTACCATTAAATTCCTTAATCGAGTTTCGAATTTTAATTTTTTTTATGGAGATACAAAAGAATTTAGCGAAATAAATTGTCAGAGAATTAAAAAAAATTGTTCAACGTTTTGGATATGACATAAGTAACAATAAATAAGGTATTCACTTATATTCGGCGTTTGGAATAATTATTCTAATTGCAAGTTTTTTAAGATATTTATCAATTTCTACTTTTTATTTTTCTTTTTTGCTCAATTTTATTGACATTAACCTAATGCTTTTCGAACGGATTTTGCATACAAATCAGTTGAGGAATTGAAAGTGAAAACTACGTATCTTTAGAAATAGCCTCATGCTTCAAATTTTATTTTGTTTTTATTATTTTACATATATGAATGTAATACAATGGTAGGTATTTAAAAAATAATTTTTTATTAATATAGTTTACTTCACATTTATAAATAATGTTTTCATAAACGTTTTCTAATTGCATTTAGTACTGGGATTCAGTCTTAATAAAATTGACATTAATAATTATACATTATTGGGGTACTAAATTAGTCTCTTATATACTCCAAATTTATTTTATTTAGACTGAATTATAATATATAGGTTAGTAGTTCGATTATATGTACAAAGGTTGGAGTGTTTAAACTGGAACAACCAATTTTTAAACTTTAATAGAAGTAAAATACCGAATATATAGTTAGAGTAATATATGTAGGTTATTTTTTATTTATTTATTTTCTATTTATTATAATTAATTACAAAATATAAAATTTTATAACTAAGATAGGAAAACGAACGCTAGTTGCTAGGGCCTTCAGTACGGATATTAAAATTAAATTTTATTGACTATATTACAGGCTTTAATATATTTATATATCGAAAGTATATTATTAACAGTAATTGTTTTTAATAGGCTGGTAGGTAAGGTGTTTGAAAAATATTACTTTAAATTATATTATTACTCATTATTATTTTAAATTAACTTAATGTACCAACCATTTTAGCATACTAGCATAATATAGTCGATATAACTTTATAATTCTATACACAAAATAAATTTAATAAAAATAATATATCAATCGAAGCGTATTTGGTCCCCAGGAAAAAAGAAAAAATCTCTATAAAAAGAAAAGTATCTTTGTATTATTGAAGTTAGGATTACATAAAAAGATCTAATATAAAAAGATTATAATAAGATCTATATAAATTACTGAAGTTGGGATCACATAGAAAGATCTTATAACAAAAATATATTTATCTGTTCAGAACCAATTATTTTTATATACAATCCATTTTTATTTGCACTCAGCCATTCATTAGTGTAGCACTAATTCTACTTCGAATCATTATTTTAAAGAATAAAAGTGATATATTTGAGTTCCAAGTCAAGTGGGTATGCACACTAATTCTTATTAAATGCATTTAGAAATGGACTGTAAAGTATATAACATAAATACAGTTAAATATAGCATATTATAGCAAATATAGCATATAAATAAAGCACAAAATAATTAGAAATAATTTTGTTAGACATTGGCAAATAATTTAGGAAGTATATAAAAACATTTTTTATGTGTTTATACAACTTAACTAAGCTTCTAACATATTTGCCTTCAGATTGCTAGAATGTGGCCTTAGTTAGATGCCTTTAACAGTCTGATAGCTGAGGTCTTCTTATCTCGTTCCTAAGGCTTTTCATTAAGGCAAAAAAAAAAAATTTTTTTCCGTCTTAAAATGTACTCTGTCAGTTTATTATTGGAATATATAATAATTTTAATCTTTAAATGTATGTCTTGACTGTAGAGTCTATTAGGTCAATCAATTATTATAATATGTAAGATGTCTTACTTTAAAATATATTTAAATCATAAGGTTAAATTAGTTAACTATTTGGTTAAAATAGATTAATATGGTAGCTTTGATATTTAAATACAAATAATAGTTAGTTGTGATAACACGGATGAGATACTGGCCATACTCCAAATCTGAAGAACCGTTTTAAAGGTGTAATTCCTTAATATCTAGTACACACAGAGTGTCATTCTGAGAAGGCTCTTTAAGTAGAGGGATGAGATACCCTTTCTACTCTAAATCTGAAGAAACACTTTAAAGATGGAATTCCATAATATGTAGTCCCCAAAAAACGTCATTTTCAGAATACGCATTTTCCCTCCTCAAGTAGAGGTGAACCAATTTCACAAGTCTTGTCAATTGTAAAAAATTTTACCATTTTAGATATCTATTATTCATAAAATAACCTAATTGTTATTAGATCGTTAGATTTTATTTAAATATATTTTAAATATGAATTCTATCGGGTAATTTAATTATGAGTATTATAAGACGTAAAGATTTGTTTTAGGAAAGCTCTTAATCTTAGAGGCTACTAGCCTAATTTCTAGAATAAATAAATTATTATGATACTCGTATCTATATATTTTGTTCATGGATTAGATGAGGTTAGTTAATAATTAGAATACGTTAATTTTTTTTAAAGTGTCTCTAACCATAAACTCTATTAGATAAATCAATTATTAAAATGTGAATGGTTTTTTATTTCAAGATATTTCTTAATGTTACACTTTATTAGGTCAATTTTATATTTTGAGATAAAGATTAATTATGGAGGTAATTATGTTTGCGTGAACAACACTAAATTTTCCTTTTATTTCTCTCTAGCTCTATCTTCCTCACTTTCTTCTCTTTTCTTCTTTAGCAACTGAATAATATATTTTTTCTTTTTTCTCTGATATGTTTTTGTACTATTTATGTAATAACTCTAACTAATATTAAAAAGTTTTTAGCTCATATTGTTACTTCGATTTTTATTTTTATTTATACATTTATTTCTTTTTATGCTCATATTCATAACAAAAAATTTTTTTAACTTAATACTGTTTTGACAATTATTTTCAATTTATTAATTTTTTATTGTTATTATTTTGCTTTTTTGTTAAAGAAGTCAATTCCCAACTACTGGTAAACGATGAAGTTAGTGACTCAGCAAACTGTAATTATAAAAAAAGTTGAAAAAGTAGTAATTCCATAATATATAGAATCAATTGTCATCAGTTTGACTTTTTTCTATTATTTTTACTTCTTTTTATTTATATTTTTTAAATTTTTTTAAATTATTTTTAATTTCTTATTTTGATTCTTAATAATATCGCATTAAATTCCGTTTAGGTTTGGAAAAGAAATATAAAGTAAATAAGTATAACAGTTGTCTACTGAGTTCAGTGAAGTCAGACTATTAAATTTATTTCAATAACGAAAGTTGGAATGGAAAATTTTTAGAATTCGTACTAATAAACTGTTGTTACTACTAACCTTGATATAAGTAGATTTAACATAATGATGCTTCATAGTATGCATTAGATACATATTCAGTATCCGTATAAAACAGCAACACTAAAGCTTAAAATGATATCAATTAATATTCTTCTAGTGTTTTTAGTGTTTGGCCTAATAATGAAAAAAATAAACGTAGTGTTCACTTGAATTTTGTAGTGCATAATTTACCATGTACGGTATTAGTTATGCTTATAAGCTACGCGTTATTATAGCTACAAGTTGAATCATACAAAAAGTTATTTATTATTTGAAAAAATTTCCGAGGAACACATTGTCATTATAGTTGCAATCCAATCATTATACTAGGCTGATAGCAATTAAATTTATGTTCATTGTATTCAAACATTGCATTAAACGTTTTAAATAAGATTAATAGCAAAAAATTATACGTTGCTTTTATAGAAATTAATCCAAATTATTAGTTTGAGTATCTATTGCAAGAAATGGAGTTTGCTCAATGTATTATAATAATTCAACCTTTAAACAAAACAAAACAAAAAAATATAAAAGTATAATTACTATATATATTAAATAAACTTATATATTCTTATATATATTATTTAAGTTGGAATTATAAAATAAATACATATGGATAAGAGTGGAAGACCCAACTAAAAGGAACTATTTGTACGTACGGTATTACGCGTTGGAAATAAAAAAGTTTGGAAATATAATAGTAATATATATTAAAATAATATAGTGTGTATTTTTATATGTATTGTATCAATTGCAATTATAAAATAAATACGAATAGAAGTAAGTGGATATGAGTTCAACTACTTCTAATATTTTTTATGTGGGTAGAAAAAAAAATATATATAAACTAAAACATTTAAATTTTATATTTTAATAATTTTTGCTTGATATTTTTTTAAATAGAATATTTTTTATTTGTAAAATTTTTTGCAAATTTAAAATCTTCCTTTTTTAGGCACAACCAAAAAAATTTAATGATATATGATTTTGTATTTTATTCAATAATTTTTAACAAATGCTTTTTAAACAAAATATGGTATGTATAAATTGTTAAGCCATTTCGAGACCATTTTTTTCAAATTTTTTTTATATAAAAATTATTTACATATACTAAAATAAGTTGTTATTACTGGGCTAAGGTCGTTTATTTAACACATAAAACGAACAAATATAATAATATAATATATCTATATTATAATAACATAATAGAATAACATAATAAACAACATTAATTTATTATTAAGCACTGAAGATAGTCTACGAAGTAAACCGAAATATTTGTAATATAAATAATTTTTTATAAAAATTAAAATGCAATTAAATATATAACAAAAATTTATAAGTGTAATTTTTTATTTAAAAAAACATTTTTACTTTTATGTTTTAAATAAATCACATAAGTCTAGAAGTACTTCAAAACTTATTTAAAATTGATCAATTAACAATTAATCTATTAAAATTCTAAATTGTTTGATTTGGTAAGTAATAAGAAAATAAATTA